CTCCAAAATTACCACCTCCAACACATAGAAGCCAGCACCATAAGCTAATGATTGATCACTCGCACAATTGAGCAAGAGGTTCCAAGTTGCAGCCGTACAAAAATTTCCAGCTAATAGTGTATACATTTTCTAGCTAAGATTAGGGATGATGTGAGAAGAACACTTTCTCGTAGTGGTCTAAAACCTCTTTTCCTGACCCGGGTCATCTAACATAGCTGTCGGCAATTCGTACTAACTACTGTTGCCGGAAATTTTTTGCTAGAGGTTAAGAAACACTCGAGCTCCAAGGCAGCGTGAATATTTTGTGTGAGCTACCTTTAAGATTATGCAATAATTTACCCTGGTTTTCTAAAGCATCCCAGCGATGCTTGGATAGTTATGAGCAACTGGTATGCTAAAGTTGAAGAATTATTTGTGTTGATACATGTCACACTCTGACTATAACTTGTCCTCGTCCGTTGCTGCTCTCGATAATTACTTCTCCTTGGAAAACTCTCCGCACTCACTTCACTACAGTACCCAACTCAAGTACTGAGTACGTAGTTACTAGTAATAGGTAGCATTAGCTTAGTATAGTCTGTCTCGACGTCGCAAGACGCAAGTATCAGCAGTTTGCCTCGCAACATTCTCGGATTTGAAGTATTTACCGAGAATTGATCGTTCAGTTGGTGACTGTCGCGGTTAGGTGCGCTGATCGCCTAGGAACACGCAGCGTTCTCACTCGCCTGATACGCTTTATTCGGCTGCAGAAATTTACCGGGCGGACACCACGGACTGCCGCTTGCAATATATAGCCGAGGTCTGATCTACCTATTTAATAGATAGGCCCCTATTTAAATTATTATAGTAATAATACTAATTTAGTATATATTTTTTTAGTAGCTAAGTTACTACTACTGTAAGTACTAGCGGCTAGATACCAGTTTCAGGCGCCTTAGCTTTAGCTTTACATTAAATAAATTGTGCCTTAGAATTAAGATTTTTATTAATCTAACGAGACATAGCGGGTACTCTCAGTCTCTGATTCATTAACTAAATAAATCATTAAGGATGCACAATTATCATTGTCATAATATTGATCAATACTGTATAACAAGTAATAGACTATAAGAGGGTCTACTAGTGTGAGTAGACCGAAATAATTCTGCCCGCATATACCCTTTTATATAATTAGGCTCAGTGCTGACATTTGGTGTAGCGTCGAGCGCCGGATTTAATTCTTTAGGTAAAGGGTGTCTCGAAGCTACGTAACGGGGGAGTTCCATCTCACTTTCAATACTTAACGAAGACCAAGATGGCTCCATTGTATCGTAGCATTTATAACCGATAATTGCAAAAAATTTTTGTTCCAGTCGGCTCGCTCTCTTCTCCGTCATCTTCCCCCTAGCTCTCCTCTCTCTCTTTTCTCCTTTCTCCTTTCTTTCATCTCTCCTTTCTTTCTTCTATATATACTTCGTGTTTCTTTCTTCGCACGCTCTCGTGAGATTGGGTTCAATCGGGTCTGTCACTGAAGGTGCGGGGGATATGGTTTAGTTTTTTGGTTTGTGGTGACTTAGTGTGTGGTGTGGGGATGTGTTAGATGCCGAGCTGTGACTCATTCTTCGGTCTGTTGATACTGTGTTGATATGTATGGGATGTGATTGATGGATGATTGAATGTTTAGATTGATGCCGAATGATTATGTCGTGAATGTAGTTGATGTGGATCAATGATGATGAAATGTGAATTTGATGAATGAATGTTGAATGAGTGATTGATTGAATGTGGTGGTGAAGCTTGGATGATGTGTAGGAGGTGGGGTAGAGTGGTGGGGCCGGAGAGAGAGAAGGAGAGTGAGGGGGGTGGAGGCTCATGAGAAGGGGGGGTTGTGGTGAGAGATTGGGTGAGGTGTGAGGGAAGGATTGAAGAGTAGAAATCTGTGGGTGGTTTTTCATTTGTGTTTGCCATTGGGCGTGTTGATGTTTGCGCCTCTCAGCCTATACTTTCGATATCTAACGCTCATTTGCGTAATAATAAAAATTCCAGAGAATTGTGATTGAGCGTTTAGTATGAGTCTAAACCTCTAACTCAACTACTACACTCACCAATAACCCTCAGGAACTAACAGCCTAATATCGCCTCTAAAATACCTAACGCTCAAAAACACGGAGAGAGCTCATTACGACGTACGGCTTATCCGTACCGTAGCCACTTCTGTTTTGGGCGTATATTATTGGTGAGGCGTATATATTTGAGCAACAGAGACGGGACCGGTTTAGGGGAGTTCGTTGTTTGGCCAAAGGATAGTATCATATAGCCAAAATTTCCGTGATAGATCGTGCTATGCTAAAATGACGCCGGGCATATGGTTTACAGTACTAACTAATGTACTCACGTACAGTGTGCGCTATAGACCTCCATAATGAAAACGTATTGCTAGTTGAGATGAGTTGTGTGTACTGTAATAGACAATATAGTGGTATACGAGGCCCGCTAGCCAGGGGGGGTCGGGCGAGTTTCATCGATACTCCCTCCGCCAAGCCAACAAAATAATTTTTTTTTTTAACAATTGCTAAAGAAGGATTCACCTCAGCAGTCCGCTCCTTTTAGATGTGATAAATTGCAAATCTCCATCGATGAGGCAGAGGGCTGGTACACCAGTAGCAAACACGCCTCCCTCGCTTCCCCCCAACACACACTCCCATCCGCTCGTCGCCTTTTGAAGCTCCCTACGACAACTGTCGGCAAACCTTCGGCTGTCGCCAGAGCAGGGGCGTGTACAGCCTATACTAGAGGAAGACCTGGCTCCAAGGAGAGTCCTGACCAACCCCAGACTTGCTTCGCGCTAGATTAAATACGCATCTGAATGGGGGTCTATATTTCTTATAAATTTATCTGAAACGGGGATGGCCACGGACAACCCAGGGGCGCGGAGGGGGGACACGGCAAGACGCGCAAGACCTCAGACCCCCCCCCCCCTTACGCAGTAATCTCGCACTTTGGTTCGGTTCGACCACCCACCCTGGTACAAATCCTGTACCACGGCTCTCTGCCGAGCACAACTGCCAACATTGAAAAAAACGAACCCCACCGCACCGCATTTAACAAAGTTCTGTGCAGACTACGGGCCTTGGTTGTATAGTGTTCCCTGATATAGTCTGATTAGACAGAGGCGACCGCCGCCTCCACCCTCGCTCGCTGCTTCCACATCCTAGCCATCGCCGCCGTAGACAAGATGTGAGGCGACCGCCTCCACCCTCGCTCGCTGCTTCCACATCCTAGCCATCGACGCCGTAGACAAGATGTGAGGCGACCGCCTCCACCCTCGCTCGCTGCTTCCACATCCTAGCCATCGACGCCGTAGACAAGATGTGAGGCGACCGCCTCCACCCTCGCTCGCTGCTTCCACATCCTAGCCATCGACGCCGTAGACAAGATGTGAGGCGACCGCCGCCTCCCTCGCTCGCTGCTTCCACATCCTAGCCATCGACGCCGTAGACAAGATGTGAGGCGACGGAGAAATGCGCGCACCCCGCGAGAGAAAAGATTGAAAAGTCATGATTAACAACATGTAAGGCGTCCCCCTCACACGCCACGAGCGAACGATAGAAATGACGTGGTTGACATGATGTGAGGTGTTTTCACGCGTGCGAGCGAAAGATAGAAATGACGCGATTGACACGATGTGACGCTTCCCCCTCATGGTTGGCCATCGTACTCTGTAATAATTCGTAAATTTTGTACTGCAGGTAAATGATTTTTACCACGAATAAATTATGTGCGACGAGGTCCGTGGTTGGGTAAAAAGGGCCGCAATTTAACCGCGGTTAAACTATTTCTACTGCAATAAACAAGAAAAGATGTGAGGTGTCCCCCATGTGCGAAGAATCAAAATAGAAACAACGCAAACGACGCAATGTAAGACATCCCCGCGCGTAACGCGAGGTGTTCCCGGTATATTTTTTCCTTTCCGCGCTCGCAGTAGCTATATACGACATAAGGTTTGTCGTCTTTAACATAAATTCATTTGCTTAAATTAATAAAAACACAAGTTCTCGCCGGAGATGATGTTTACTGTCGTTACCGTACGTCCCAACCACGATCCGTGTTGCTTGCGGCGATTGAAGGTTTACTAGTGAAAGAAAATAAAAATGGCAATTCTCGAAAACAAAGTTTTATTCTTCATTGTTGTGAAATGGAAGTGAACGGGTCATACGCAGGGCCGTAGCTACCATTAGGCAATAGGAGGCAAATGCCTCCTACAAAATTTCTAAAAAAAAAAAATTAAGCGGGCCGCATACCCCACGCCCTATTGGCTCGCTTCGCCCCTTGTTCTTTAACTCACAACATTTGCCTCCTGCAAAATTTACCTCTGGCTAGGGCCCTGGTCACACGTATGTGTATGCATGCACGTGAGATAGTGAGAGTGCATTGATATCGTCTCATTATATACGTTTTACACGACTATAACGCCTGTGAGACCATGAAACCGTCCAAAAATCGTGCTTACCCGAGATTACGTAGGTCCAACCATCCAGATGAGACGGGATACCAGAGAAGTGTTCCTGACAGGATGTGTTGATCCTAACCGCTGAGCGCAGATCTTGCGCGCAGTTCCGCGGAAAGGCGCACACGTCCGCCATATATATTCCATTCTAGGTATAGTATACTATAGTATA